TTTCACCTAATTTTTTGTGCAAGTTTAGTCACAAATAAATACTAATTTTATATAAAATATAATTTTTTTTAATATAGTTACAGATATCAATAAACTTTAAATTAGAATATCAAATCCAACTATTAAATTGATAGAATATGAATTATATAAAAAAAATATAATTAATATATAGTCTTTTTTCATACCTAGATAAAATTATTTATTTTAAAAATTGATTACAAAAAGAGAAAATAGTCCATTTACCTAACTCTTAAATATTTTCTTTAAATTCAAAACGGTTCTTTTAACTCAAACATCGAAAACATATTTTGTAGTACATAAAAATTGATGTACTATATCAAACATTTTTCAAAAGCTTAGGAGGGGCGGCTCCCCCACACCCTTGTCCTGCGGTAGCTCGGTCCCTGATTGTGAACCAAATGGATTATAATTACTTTTTAACAGTTGTTCTACGAGTTTTTCGGTTTCTTACAATTTTTTTCCTAGTTTCAATCCACTAAACCCATCAAATGGAGTACTTATATATGCTAATAACTTAAACGAACAATTATAGGGAGTACCTCTTTTGCCATGTCCATGAGGCTAGAGCCAAGAAGCTCTGAAATTGCGACTGAAGTGCACTTAAGAAGGTTTGCTCCATTTTGTGTACCGGGGATTAGGAGGGTCATGAATCCTCCAGGCACGACCTCCTCCGCTCTAGCTCTCAAGAATGATTCAAAATCATTCGCAAATTGAGCAGCATAAGCCTCTTCAACTTTTTTGGAGCTTCCATAGAAAATCCTCCCTTTGTTCCAAACAGAGGAGCTTTGGTCTTGGACTTGCCTTGGGATCTTCGACATCCAGTGCATTGTATAGGAGGAAAGAGCAAAATGCAGGCTGGCCTTGGGGAACAAGGAACCATAAAAGCTACCTGGAACACCAGCTGCAAAGTAACTTCTTTCGGATGGAAGTGTCCTAAAGAGAGTGTTGAAGTCATTTGCGCTGTGATCATTAAAGAAAACTTGAAACTCCATATGTTTGGATTGGTTCTGTTTTGATTTTACAGCTTCTACAATGTCCTGCACTGCAAAAAAAGTATTAGGTCCAAAGGAACATCCCATATCTGCAATTCTGAACACATTTCCAGGTGAAATGAGATGTTCTACGTCAAGCTTCTTGGAGATCTCCTCAGAAGTTAATCTCTTTATTAAATCCCAACCCGTTTTCTGCCAGAAGAAAAAAGTTAGCATGTTTAAGTTTATTTGCAGTATTTTGAGGAAGAAATCATATATATAGGATTACCTGGTAGTTGGAATTTTTGGCATAGTTATATGGCCCTTCTGCATGGGCCATTGGAAATAATTTATTAGATGAAGAGCCCTTCTTGGTATCTGCTTTGTTCTCCATTTTGGAAAACTTAACTTTAGTCTAGAGCAGCGAATGGAGAAGGGTATCTACCCACAGAGAGAGAGAGAGAAAATGGAGAACGGTGACACGAAGCAATCTTTTTATAGAGTATGGTTATAATCAGCCGCCATTTTATTAATATCTCCTAATTCTATTTAGTTTAATTAAATGTTAACAGAATTTTTAATGGGAATAGCTGCTTATTGTTTTGTTAACATCACTCAATTCTGCTTAGTTTAATTGAATATTAAAAGGATTTTTTAGAGCACATTTTTATTATAAATGTGTACAGAGAAATATAAAAATTAACATTAATTTTACTGTTTGTATTAAATAGATGAATATAATTGAATAATTAATAAATTAAAAGTTAATTTTTACTTTTTTAATATAAATTTATGATAAAAGGATATTTATTACTCTTTTAATTTGTATTTTAAGGACACAAATTAAAAAAATCATATTATTGATAAAATAATTAATATTTATTATTTAATAAATTAAAATTAATTTTTAAAATGATATTTTTAAATATTATAACTAATTATTTAAAAAAATTACAAATAAATAAAAGGAAAAAAAGAAAGTTAAAATGTATCAACATTTTTAATGTCATAACACTTAATAATAGTTATATAATAGCTTAATGATAGTTACATAATGCATTTAATAAAATTAAGATTAAAACTATACTTTATATATTTAATAGTTATAGTTAAATATTTAAATATTTTTAATATTAAAATATTTTAATTTTTTAAAAAATAAAATAACAATTATACCAAATAATTTTTAAGTGACCATAATCCGCCACTTTTTATATATTTGCCAATAAAAGAATTTTGGTTCAGTCGGACGGGTCCGGTTATTGCCACACAAAAACCAAGCTTTTCAACTTAATTGACTATTTTGCCCTCTTCTTTTACAAAAGGTAAAGGAAGGGTCCCATCAGCCCACCGCCCTTGATTAAGGCCATGTTTTCCGGCCGTGCACACTCAGTGACCTTTTCTTCTGCCAACCAAAACACCACGTTCATCTTCGGTGGACAGGCTGGTATAGCTGAAGTTTTTAATAGAAACTCGGGTAGAAAGAAATTGTTGTAGAAATAGTATTTTTATAAATAAAAAAATAAATATAAAATAAAAATAATATATTAATATCATTAAAATTCGAATAAAAAACTTGTGCGAAAACACTAATTTGATACTTATGATATTTGCAATGAAATGGATAGAATATTAACTTGTGAGAAGTCGTAATATTTTTCATAAGTTATAGTGTTTGGTGCAATTAGAGTTTCTGGAGTTTAAAAAAAAATTTTGTGAAAATTCATAGCATTTTTCATAAATTATAATGTTTGATATAATTAGAGTTTTTGAAATTCAAAAAAATTTCTCATAAATTGTACCAAACATGCACTAAGCCTATATTTGGATTAGGGGATGCAGAGGGAAAGGGACCAGAGTGAGGGTAGATGTCTCTCTAATTTTTATTTATTTATTTTTTAATAAATAAAAGGGTGGAGAGATGGAGAGCAATGCAATTCACTCCATTTTTTTTTTATTCTTTTAAATTAGAGAAATTACAAGAGATTTAGTTTATATATTTAATATTTTTTAATTTTTTTAAAAATAAATATATAAAAATAATTTATTTTAATTATTTTTAAGTAATAAATTTTAAATATTTTAATTTATTTTTTAATTATTTAATTAAATAAAAATATTATTCTTTTTTCATAAAAAAATAATTATTCTTTCCTTCACTCTATTTTTATTTATTTAAATAGAATTAATGTTAATTCTTTCCCGCCTTTTGTTTTCCTCCATTCTTTCCCTTTTCCTAATTTTTGTCTAAACAGATGCCAACTAGTATCCACTTCAATTCATCCCATACCCAAAATCCAAAAGCTCCCTTGAAAACTACCCAGATCTCGCTGTGTTTGAAATTGACTACCACCAACTTCAATTCATTACATAGTGTTTGGTTTACCCTTTTTTTTTCTTTTTTTTTTTAAAAGCATCCTTTTAAAATTTTGTAAGGATATTGTAATATTAATATACTCTAAAATTACAATAAATAAAAGATAAAAATTATATTTTTAAATTATATTTTTCTTAACATAATTATTAATATGTAAAGTTTCTTATCACCTCTTTTGAAAGGAAAAAGTTTTCTTGCAACTTTCTCTACATTGAACTGGTTTAACAATTTTTCTTATTAACTCTTTTCATATTAATTTTTTATCAAATACAATAAAATTAACAACTTAATAAAAATCTAACAAAATTTTATTATAAAATTTAATAATTTTTTATATATACTTTTTAACTTTTTATACAATATTTTTTTAATAATTTTTTAATAAAAACTTTTCAAAAAAAAAAAGTGAGGGTCTAACCAAACACACCTAAAACACAAGAAAACTCCCTTCAAAACTACCCAGATCTTGCCGTCTTTGAAATTGACTAGCACCAACTTCAATTCATCCGATAGGACCGATACCCACCTGTAAGGCGAAGTTTGGTACTTTGGTTTACTTTTTGAAGAAATATTCCTTTTAAAATTTTGTAAGAATATTTTAATATTTATACATCTTAAAATTATATAAATAAATAGTAAAAGTAGTATTTTTGAATTTTTATTTTTTTAATATAATTTTTAATCTGCAAAGTTTTCTTCTCACCTCTTTTGAATGAAAAAAGTTTTCCTACAACTTTTTTTTATATTGAATCCACTTAACAGCTTTCTTTATTAACTTTTTTTATATCAATTTCTTATCTAACACAATCAATTTAACAACTCAATAAAATTCTAATAAAACTTGATTATAAAAATTAACAACTTTTCATATTGTATTTTTTAACTATTCTAATTAAAGCATGAAAACATATATATTTAAAGTGTACTCAACAATTGGTATTTTTGAAATTATGGGTTTAACAGTAGAATTTTTTTATATATAATTTTATAAGTATTCATTCTATTAATTAAGCAATTTTTAATGATTGAAGGTTTAGTGATTAAATGAAGAGAATTAGAAAAAAGGACTTAAATGCAATGTGTCAAAAAGATAAGTATTCAAAGATCAAATTTTAGAGTTTAAAGGTTCAAATTAGATTTTCTCCATTTTTAGCAAGAAGCAAAGTACGTGAAATCAAAGTGTCAATGAGCTGTTAGAACCTAACTTTGAGGTTTCAGCCCTTGATCATGCAAAAGGGGCACGAAAGAATATGGGGTTTCGCACCGAGGTTCCAACTCCTGGTCACCATATGCACCAAGGATAGATGCAAGCGGGCTGTCGCACTCTGATTTTAGGTTTCAACCCCTAATTGATTGGAATGTGCAGAAAGAAAGAAAGAAAGAAAAAAAGAAAAAAACTTAATTTTTTTGAATTGTTATTTCAATTACCAAACATTCTTATTTTATTCTCAATATAAATAAGAGTGTTTAAAATTAGATTTTGGTTATCTGAAGGTTGTTCCTTAGTTTGTATTTTCTTTTTTTCTTACAATAGAGAATTATGTAAGACATAGTTAAACCTTTGACAATGTTAAGAATGATTTTAATTGAGAAGTTTGATTTATTATTTTATTTTGATTCCTTTAAAATTTTATCATTTAATTTTATTTTTAAGAAACTGCTAATTATTTTTAAATCTGAAAACCTTGAGAGTTATATTCATTAAGTTTTATGTCAACTCAACCATACTCTTTTTATGTGTAATTAATTAGAATATAATTTATTGATAGATTTATTTTACAAGTTGATCCTTCATTGTAGTATTATCAATTAGATACATCATCACTCTTAAATAGTTCGTAATGGATTAGTTTGTTCTTCATTAAAATTAATCTCTCTCAAAATAAATATATTAATTATTATTATTGGTTTTTAAAGATATATCTTCTAATTATTTTTTTTGAGATGTGAAACATGTAATTTAATAATAAATAATAATAAAAAATGGTAATAGTTGAATAAATCAATTAAATAAATCCTAAAATCTTACTCATCATAATATTATTTTTAATTTTTATAATTATTATCATTTTTATTCAAATATTTTATTTTTAATTTAAAAAATCATCTTTTAAATTTAATTTCTTATTATGATAACTCTTTTTATTAGTTTAATAGCTTTCTTGAGAATTTAACACCTAAAACTATGCTTATAATAACCACTTAATTAAAGGGCATTAATTTTGAGTGAGACAGTTTTATACAATATCTTTTTAATTGTTTTTTCAATAAAAACTTTTCTTTAAAAAGTGAGCGCCTACCAA